GTTTCCTTCACAGGAGGGACTGGGTACCACCTTTGGGCTTAGAAAGCTGACACAGGGAGCATAATGCAAAGTCAGTGAGGCATGAAAACGCAGATGAAGTCACAGTGGGAAGTGACCACTGCCCAGGGGCATTTCACCTGAGCAGCCTCCCATGGAGGCTGGCCACAAGAAGGGCCTCTCCTGCAGGGGAAGCCGGGCCGTGGCCCTCGGTGATCACCAGGATCGCAGCCCCTTGGCGCCACAGCAGCTGGGACGAAATCCCTTCCAGCCGGCCGGCGGCTAGCACTCCACCTTCCTCCTCACTGCCCCCTGAACAGGCCCTCACCAAAACCTAGATGAGAAAAGTCCTAACATATCTCCGAAGCCTATCTTCACAGAGAAGAGGACCAGAGAGAGTTTAAGCTGGACGAGACCCCAGAATGGAGGGTCTGTGCTTCCGGCTGTGGGCGGGTCCTCTGGCTGGGGGAGTTCCCGGGCCGCAGGTGGATTCAGAATTCTGGGCTGCAGCCCCAGGCCTCAGCGCTTGGTGGGAAGCTGCAGGTCACCCCAGCTTGCAGCAGAGGCAGGGAGCCGCTGTCTTGGGTGCGGGTGGCCGTCCCCGCCTGTCTGCTCACTAATCGGGGGATAAGCTCAGGCTGAACTTCCGGCCTCCCGCTCGGGGGAGGGCAATGTGTCAATGTCCTTAAATGAAGTCGCTCACAGCACCGCGAATCCTTGTGTTTGGATCACATCACCTCCAGTCACTGCCTGTGACGACTCAGTGCCGAGTCACAGGCTCAGAAACTTTGTCAATCCAAGAAGTGAACATTTTCAAAAGGTCCTGAAGTGACTCAGGGACGACCCGGGAAGGCGCGTGGGGCAGGGAGCCCGCATGCCCTCCAGCTCGGCGCCTTCAGCAGCTGCAGCAGCCGACATTTCCCTAAGAAGCTTGTGCCACCTTTTTAAAGAACAGGGGTGGGGGTGGCAGGCAGCCACCTGCCAACTCCAGACTTATTTACAGATAAAACATGCAAAAGGGCCGTCAGAAGTGATACCCTTTGTGTCAAGTTATCTGGAACCTCACGGAGTCCTGCTTCTGCACCTGACAGCCACCCGTGTGTCTGAGAAACAGCCTGGAGTGCTACGATTATTTCCACAAGCCCTCTGTCCCTGGGTCATCCTTTCCAAGCGATGTCACTACTGCGTCCCGTGCATCTCCCTTGGGTGACTGGCTGGTCCTGGGCACTGCTGTCACAGTGAGTGTCCTGTCTCTTCAGAGTCACCAACTACCCGGCAAACTGGTGATGGGATGAAGATGGAAACTCCATTAACTCAGTCCAATGGAGTGCAGGGTGCTGCAGCTACAGCGGTTTAAATCTCCTGAGCCAACCCTCTTTCCAGGTGGGGAGACGCAGGCTCAGGGGGGGCAGGTGTCCTTCTGCAGGGAGCCCCCTTAGCTGTGTTCGGAGACCTGGCCTTCTATCCGGATATGCTTGGTTCCCCAGGACGGGTCCGAGGACCACCTCACTTAAAGACCAGCTTGTAAACTTTTTATTTTCCCTTACGAAAAAAAATTCCAAGTACATTTATTTAAAAAAAAATCTATTTTTTAGTGATGGGCTATTACAGAAAGCCTAAACAGTCAGTGGTTAAAGCAGCCTTTGGTTTTAAAGACTATTTTTCAAGCACAGAGAAAGGGACATTTTTCTGCAGCTTTCTGCTTATATGACTCATGCTCACAGTATAAAATGATTTCGCACAAGCATATTGTTCTGGAATATTTTAGAAAATAACTTTACATTGTAAAAAGTCAAATGTTTTATTTTGTTGCAAAGTTGAAATACAGAATATAGGGAAGAAAATAAAAACTAATAATCTCATAACTATTCTCATTTTGGCAAATTTCCTACTAGAATGACATGATTATATTTAGTTTTTGTGCATATATATATACATCTATATATACTGATAGACTTACATGTTTGACAACATTAGGAGTGCTCTGTGTAGTTTTGTGTCCTGCACAATATGTGTAATGCTGTATCAGGAGGACTTTCCCAAGGACACTGGGTTAGATTATACATGAACATGGAGACTCATGAATCACAGAGGGTGAATCATTGTGACGAAGTGGCTGGCATGGAAATGGAGGTCAAGGTCAATGCTGACGGAGAGCAGGCTTAGCAACAAGTTAAGCAGAGAACATGTTCCAGCCCCTGGCTTGTATCTCTCCCCTCCACAGCCAGGGACCAGCCACAGAAGTCCTCACAATGGATCCAATTTCACATCTACCTTCTCCTCCTCTTTTCAGGGTCAGGAGATGGTGAGATCGTATTTGAGGGAAAGAAGGAACAGTTGTGATTTAAGGAGAAGGAACAATGTAAGTTTACTGCACACATGCTGGCAAGGTCAACACGGAATCTCCTGATGGAAAGTCAGACATCATCAATTGGAACAGAGAGCCCACCACACCGCTGGTCCCTGCCTTCAACCACAGGAACCTGCTCGCCTTGTGTCCGAGAGAGCACATGCCAGTGCTTAGAGGATAAAGAGTGGGCTTTAGCAAACAGCCATGTCAGTTTGCAGCTGTTTTTAAAGTGACGGCTATGCTGAGATGTAACCTACATACCATTCAGTTCATGCATTTAAAGTGCACAAGACAGTGGGTGTTAGAATAGTCATGGAACTAAGCAAACATCACAATTTTAAATCATTTCTATCACCCTGAGAAGAAACCCCATAGCAAGAGCAGTCATCCCCCTTCCCCCTGTCCCCCAGCCCTCACTGACCTGATTGCTGCCTCTGGGAACTTGCCTATTCTGGACACTCATACAAATGGAATCACACGGGAAGCCTGATGTCTGGCATCTTTCACTTGGCAGAATGTTTCTAAGGTTCATTCGCACTGTGGCAGGCATCAATATTTCATTTCTTTTTATTGCTGAGTAACATTCCATCATATGGATCCTCCACACTTTATTTATCCATTAGTTGATGGATATTTGGGTTCTCAGTGTTTGGCTACTGCTGCTGTGAACATCTATATGTAAGTTATTGTGTAGACACATTTTTGTTCCCCTTGGTTAGGTACCCAGGAGATTGGGTCTTACAGTAACTCTGAGTGCTTAACCTTCTGAGCGAGTGCCAGAACATCTGTTCACTTCTAAGACATTCAGATGATCCTGAACAAATGTCTAGTATTTTATTTCTATGGAACTACAGTTCAGTGCTAAGATTATTTTGTTGAAAGTTGGGGAAAGTCAAAACCTGCTTTGCTTCGTATACATTTTCCTATTCATCTTTGCTTCCTCTACACCATTGAAAGAACTATTCTTTACAGTTATATTCTTATGGGAATCTTGGAATATTTGGCCAAGTTCACTTGACAGTTTTAGAAATATAGCTACAATAAATGTGTTCACTAAAGAGCATGGCTTATGTTATGTTGCCATTGATAATGCTGAATTAAGAACTAAGTGTTTGCAATAAAGTAGAAGAATGCCTATACTGGAGAATCCAGACTTTTGTGTACATACGAATTACGAGGACAACTTGTTAAAAAAAAAGGCAAATTCCAGGCTCTGCTCCTAAGGGCATATGATTCAGTAGGTCAGGAGGGGACCTAGGAATCTGTTTTCCACACCTTTGCCCTCCCAGGTGCACACAGGTGATTCTGATGCAGGCAGGCCATGCCGACAGGTCACCCCACTCAGGTCGTCAGCTGCATTAGCCACTCCTCCTTTCAGACTTGAGTCTCACCTTCTCAGTTCTTGGACACCTTATTTGGAAAGATTCTTTCTCTCCTTTGAACCAAGATATCTACATCTATATGTTTGTTCTATGCACTTACTTGCCTATATTGTTGGTTGTATGTAGTTAAAAATACATGGATCTTATCTACCAGCTAGATAGTGACTTGTGTGCAGAGAATGACATATTTTTGTACTGTGCCCCTCCTTACCATGTGCTTGATGAGGACATAGTGATATAGGATAATCAAGTGCTTCCCTGACATCTTTGAGCCTCACAGACCCCAAAGGCCTAACCATGTGTTTTCCTACCCTTGGCAGATATGCCCAGTGCCGGGCAGGAAGGCCCCACACCCTACTGGCTCCCCTACAAGCCAGGCCAGCTGCACGCCCCTCCTCCGGGTCTTCAACCTAACAGAATTGTGCAAACAAGCCCATCACATCCTTCCTGGGAACCAGGGGCCACCTCCCTCCCTCGTTACTGCAAGGCCTGCCTCCCAAGCCCCGACTTCACGCTGCTCCTGAGAGCAACCCCAGGCGGCCCAGGGTGGCATGTGCGCTCCCCTGCCCTGGGGGATGAGTTTCTGTGACTAATAAACCACCATCTCACCTGTCCAGTGCTGGTTGTTGGGAGTTTGGCCACTGCAGACTTTTTTGGGTGGGGGATCCCCCCCTCACCAACAGGGTGAATCGGAGGGGTCAGAGCACACGTGGGTGTGCACATGCACTGCTGGGCTTGGAATGCAGACTTTGGATCACGGATTTATCCTGACCCTGTGTTCAGTGCTTATGCTGTCCTGGAGGGCAGGCACAGCAGGCTGGGAATCGGCTGGACTGTATTCCCAGAACCCAGTCACCAGGACAGAAGGGAAACAATACAGTCAGGAATCACATTTTGTTTAAAACTGAGCAATCCAGTCTGCCTGACAAATTCAGGCTGACGTGTCCTCCACACCGCGTCCTAACAACCAGCTCCCGCTCTTCCTCCTCGAGGCCCTGTTCACCAAATGGTCTGATAGAGCAGAACGAATGTGGCATTTATGCACTACGGCTTTTCTCTGAAAACTGTGGACATTTTGCAGGGATACGTAAAATATTCAGGGAAATGTCTGTACTATTTATTATCAATTAGAGCGGGATGTGAGTAATATGCTCCTTTAGAGAGATCTTCAAAAATCACACAACAGTCAACAGATGGGTATTCACTCAACCAGCAAGAGGGGTACAAGGCAATGACGTGCCTCAGGCAGGGCGGCCCTGCGAAGTCCTCACCTTTCAAGGTCGCTTTCTTAAGAACTTTCATTGCGTAGAGCTGTCCAGCATCAGACCCCTGGATCTTCCTTACCAGGAACACCTTAGAAAGAGAACACAGACCACCTGAAATTAATGACTTTAAACTCATTGTCTTTATTTGACTGACTAGTGGATACACAAAGGAGTTTAGAAAAATTTCAATGAAATAAACACACTGTAGGAAAATTATAAATGCAAAGTTTTCTGACTTCAAGGCTGCCCACATCTAATTCACTAAAGCCCCGTGGTGAACAGCAGGCTGTGTCTAGGAAGGACCTTCATTTGTCTCCAGCAGCGCTGGCATTCGATTGAACATTTTCTACCAGAAGTAGTACCACCCTTTTTTAGAAGACAGCGATCCTTCAGAAACACACACACTAACCAGAAGTTTAAAGGACACCATGGGGTTTACTGTAAACGCCCTCTGCCATCCCCCTGTGAACCCAGCCCTGAGGGTTACTGCCAATCACACAGGACAGAACGACTCTCAGGATAAAGTAGCTTCACTTGTTTTGAGGTTTCTTCCCCCAGATTGTAGTTTTGAGTAGCTTAAGTTTATGGAGTTAGTCTCTAAATGGCTCTTAAATATACTCAGTGAACACTTAACACTTTCTGAAGCACATTTTGAGGTACCTAATGGAAGAAGACCAAAAAGGGAACAGTTAGAGAACTTAGTGAGCTTAGTCATATTCATGATTGCTGTTGAAGAAAGTCAGTAAATAATAAGCACACACACACCCAGGGTACTTCATGAAAGAAAGAACAAACCCCTTCCATCAAAATGAAGTATCTGCATTTTCTAGCAGTATTTGGAGAGGGGCAGGTCGCCGCAACAGCACACACAGACGGAGCTGGCCTCCGGCAGACAGGGGGCAGCCTGCATGGGGTGAGGGTGTCTCTCCTTCCCAGTGCCTCCCTCTCTGAGCCTCGGGCCAGAAAGGTTGCTAGCACCCAGGCATCTGGTGAATCTGGTTACAGAACCTGGCCCACTAAGTGTGGGACTCTTATGAGGGGTCCTGGTTTCACTGGCCACAGTTGGAGGCGTGGCATATGGATGAGGCTGTGTGCGGGCAAGAGCCCTGGGGCAGCCCACTGGCCTGCCTTCCCCCAGGGAGACACTGGCATCCAGTCTCGGGGCAGAGTGGAGGGCCACAGACAGTGCCCCAGCACCACATGCCCCGTGAGGACCCAGCTGTCCCTCCCTCCTAACCTTGGCACCGCTTGGGTCACCATCCCCCAGACGGGGCTCCCCAGGTCAGCAAAAGCCCCCCTCCCTCTCCACAGAGAGGCTGCCCGCAGCAGAGGGCCCAGGAGCCACGGGCAGCTAGAGGCGGACTAGAGGCCGCTTTCTGTGGCCTCCGGGCTACACTCCCATGAGAGTATGCTTGAGAGGCGTGTGACGTGTCCGAGCCCCCGTGGGTCCCACAGGTTTGTCTGCCAGTTGGCTGCCTGTGGGGCAGACCCTTGGGGGCGCAGGGGCCCAGGAAGCAAGCTCGGCCCTCCTGCCACCCACCAGCCTCTTCGGCCTGGCAGCTGCTGCAGACTGGGGCTCTGCCTAAGGAGAGGGGGGCTGGGGTCGAGGCCCCCAAGAGGAAGAGCTGTGACAGCAGGCAGAGGGTGTGTGGAGAGCAGCTCTAGTGGTGGGCCTTGGGGCCCTAGAGTGGCCGGTGGGGAGTCATGTGCTGTGAATACCTGCTGGCTCGCTCATGCTCCAAGTCCCCTTAGCTCCAGCCCTCCCAGGGAGCCGGTGTGGATCTGAGTATTTGGGGTCACTGGGGTCAGCAGGGCAGGTGGGGATGGGTGGGGGCCGTGAGTGAGCGGCCCCAGGGCAAACTGCCTTCTCCTCAAGTCACTGTGCAGAGACGCAGCATGAACAGCTGCTCTGGCCCTCGTGGGCTTCGCCTGGGGCACAGAGCTCTCCCCACCCCGTTACAGGGACACTGACTTGTCAGAGAACTAGTAATGACAGTAAAACTCCTCTGTCAAAATGGGAGGATGAGTGAAGTATGAGAAAGGTGTGTGTGTGCGGCCAGCCTTTGGATACTTGGAAACAACCTTTCCGCTCCTTTTCCATCCCTTATTCCACCGCTCCCCTAAATATAAGGAGAGGCACGCCTGAATGCATATGTCCATGCACCTGAGAGCATGGATTCAAGGAGCTGTGAACACCCCGATCCCTGAGTCTAAACTGAGAACCAAGCTCACAGGCAGCCCTCAAGATTTACTTGAAATGATGCCAAACTTTGCATAGTTACACATAAAACCTTTTTGTCTACTGTATTTCAGGCTTTAAAAATGAGATCATTGATAGTAATGGCTATTTACACTTACTTGTTTTTTTGAAAGTTCTATTTTTATTTTTGAAAAGAACAGGAAAAATTCCATTTCATCAGTACCTTTCAAGCTCCTGCTATGTGCTGGGTCCTGCACGTCACCTGGCGCGGCCGCGGGGTCAGCCCCATGGGCATCAGGTACCTACCAGCAGACATGCAGCATCCCGAGAAAACCAACAGAAGCTGTAAAAGTCAACTTCAAAATTAAACGTGATGATTCGCGAGGAGGCTGGCCTGGTCGGCTGAAGGGCCGGCACCCCAGCATGGCTGCACCCTGCATTTGTCTCCTCCTCTTCTGTCAGGCTTGGGTGATCCGGAATACGCTTCAGTGTGCTGGAATGAGTGCCCGGACAACTCTGACCATTCCAGCAAAATAGCCCGATTGTCACAGTTGATTGGGTCGGCTTTTTTTGGGCTCCCTCGTTTCATTTTTAGAACTGCCTGCTTGGCAGGTCAGTGTGGGGTGCTGCAAAGATGTCATGAGATGACACACAACCGGAGGCTGGGTCACCCTAAGCCACCCCAAGTCACCCCGAATCTTCACATATCCCTGTAGTCAGCGAAGTCATGACCTGGTTCTCTCAGCAAAATTCTCAGCCGTCGCAACTGGAAAATGGCAATCGGTCTGCAGTGTCCGCCAACACACGGGACAGCTAGGTGGCGGTCATAGCTTTTGGAGGACTTTAGGGTAACAATGTCCCCCAGAGGAAGACACTTGAAGACCCATTCTTACAATGCCACCAATTAACTGACAGCAGCAAGGATGTTTTCTGACTTGGTTTGATCCCTCCCCAGATGTGGGACTCCTACTCTGAAGAGCATTCCACAGGACATGCTCAGGGAATATACTTCAGGGCGGCCCTGGTGCTCATCCACGTAAGGGCGCCTGGCGCAGCAAGGACATGGGGAGGGGGCAACAGCTTGCTTCCTGGCTCCGTGGGAGCCTGGTGCCTCTGTTTCTAATGTGCCAATGAGCATCCAGTTAGCATCCTTCGCGCCAGTGCTAGAATGTGCTCTGCCATATTTCCAAAGCACTTCACTGCTTCCCAATTCAATGTGATGGCGCTTTCCTGTATGAGGATAAGGCTGTGTTTCTCTTGGCCAGACACCACCACTACCCTCTGCTCCCTGGATAGCACCGAAACAGGATGGTTTGAACAAATGACAAATGACCAGAGACTGCCTCCACTTCCCGCAGCAGGTTGCTTCAGCCCCACCCTGCACTGTGCAGGACTGGCCCTGGGACAGGTGCCCAGGCTGCAGTCTGGGTGGTCCCATAGGGGGTCAGCTGGAGGCTGCCCTCAGCCCCTGGGGAGATGCCATCCCAGGGGCTTGCCCTCTGGGTTCTTGTACCTTCTGGCTGCAAGAATACGTTTTGCTCATTTCTGTGTCTCCAGCACAGAACTCCTGCCATCACAGTAATGGATGAACAAAAGAATGGAGAGACCCAGTGAGGCGAGCACAGCCTGGGATGCTGGAGCCCAGATTCATGCCAGTCCCTGCGCTTTGCAGCAGAGCAAGGGAAATCTGCTACCAAGAGCTTTCTGCACCATGACATCTAGTTTTGACCTTCTTTTCCTTAAAGGAGATCAGGTAGGTCACTCCCACGTAAGGACACGCTATTTTTACTTAGAGAGAATAAACTAACACGGGGCATCAGAACACATGGCTTTGCTTTCCCCTCCTTGCTGACTCTGCTTTTATAAAAAATTCCTAACAAGCAGCCCTGTGTGGAAAACACTATTTATATTTGTGTCTGATGTTGGCTCCAAATCATTCCCAGGGGACTTCGGAGTGAAGCTTTCCAGAATAACGCCTTCGACCAGAGTTCTGCCACCTCAAGTCAGCAGCCTCGTCCACTGGGAGCCCTGAACCTCCCTCCCAACAGCTCCGGTGCAGCCGAACTGGATGACACCCAGCAACTAGTGGGGCTGAAACACCCAAGACACCCCTGCTGAGTCGTCTTTTATTTCTGAACTTCACTTGCATCCCTGTGTATGACAGTGTTAAGTGTAGACGTGTGGCTGGAGAGGCCTGGGATGGTGCATGAGGCAGGGACCACTCCTGGGGGACCAACCACTCTGCGGGGCGACCACTCTGCGGGGACCCACAAACACCATCACTTGACTTGTTGTGCAAAGACTTTCTTTAAAGCAAAGTTGAAATTCAAAATAGCTTTTTCCCCTCCTATTTTCACCCCCAGGCCTCCGAGGAGGACATTTTCAAGGGTAGTTTTTATTCAGTCTAGTTTCTGAAGGGACACCTTGGGCCTCGAATCTGTGTTTCTGTTGTGCTCAGAGGGCACCTTCCCGTCTCTGCTGCTCCCAGGCGCCGGGAGATGGGCGGTGGCGGCGGCCAGTGCCAGGGCATGACTCCTGCCACCCGGCACCGCCGGCTCGGCTGCAGGCCCACCGGGGACACGGATGAGCCGGCCAAGAACATGCTCCATGGGGCCGACTCCTTCAAGGACACACACGCACCAGGGTCCGTGAAGGGGCAAAAGGGAGGAGGCCTTGCTTGCCTCTATTTCAAAATCGTGATTCTTTGAGAAAGAACTATGCCACCTGCTTTTTCCCAACATTCCTAATTAATGGCAAGACATTCCATTACTACATGAATAGGCTCTGCCTTGTTTTCAGTGATGGCTTTTCACACTGTGAGATACTGAAATCTTCATTTCCTTACTTCCGTAAATACCTTCTGAGCCATATAGCCATTTTTATAGGACACAAAATTTTGAATACCAGTAATAGCATTTGGTTCAAACTAATATGTATATACATTACTGTTTCCTCCCACATCACCATGTGGAAGAGAAAAAGAGAAAAGAAAAAGTCATTCTATTCTATAACCAGGTCAAAGATAAATTTCACAATCAAATGTTCATGGTCTGTAAGAGATTTTCAGAAGGTCACTGGCATACTATTGATCCTACATTAAATCAACAGGAGCCAGATTTCAACTTGGCAGAGTCCTACGAAGAATGGAGAGATGTGGTGGTCGTCCACACACCACACAAAGTAGTTATTTTAAGGTGCCAGGACTGTTCTGCTGACACGCTAGGAAAGGCTGGGTTCGTCGCTTATCCAGGCCATGCTGTCAGGGTCTGCAGGTCCCTAACAGCGGCACCAAGGAGGCAGAGGAGTCAGCACTGACCTCGAATGACTCACAGGTCGTGACGCTGCAGTACGTGGATGAGGCCCCACACAAAGAGCCACCTATTGCTCATTTTCTGAGGGGAATTGGTTCTTATCATTTGAAATATTTTTTTAGTTTTACCCTTTACTATGAGAATGTTTTATTTTTAAAAATAAGTCCTTTTTTAAAAATTATGAATTATTTGTAAAAAAATGCACAAAGCTTAGTGTACAGCTTGATGAACTTTGATACCCATATGCACTCATGTGCATTGGTTTTAATTGTAATTTGAATATAAAAAAAGGAAGAGCAATTCTCTGCTATGAATGATTCTTACAGCTTATATTCTGTCCTAAAACTTTCAACAGTTCAACATGTCTCAGGCAATTGCAAGATGGGATTCAAGTCTTATTTAATCCATAGAATAATTATTTATCCCCATTTGATAGGTGGGGAAACTGAGTCTTAGGCAAAGTAACTGTGACTGGCACGGAGGGTAAGGAGTAGAGCCCGGGCTCCTGACTCCTGAGCGACGGCTGTGCAGGCCAGTCCTGAAGGGCACTGTTTTCTGCTTTGTTTTCTTGTTCTATTTTTCATTTCTTGTTCAGCCTGTGCTTTCAACGATGCACTGGCTCAAGTTCTGGAATCCTGCTCACCCTAGTGATGAACTAAATGCCCAAGCAAGCTCTAAGGAGAGGGAGCATGTGATACCCTCAAGGCACAGGCAGCCTGGCTTTGCGCGGCTCCATGGTGATGGAAAGCGCGTGCCAAGCCAGAGAAGGGAGGACGCTTGCAATTTTCATTCCATCAGCCTCTGGTCCATGTGTCCTTGGTGTTCAGGGAGCACCTCTGCCATGTCTCCTGTCATCATTCAAGTGTTCCTGTTGTGCGACACAGAGCCAGCCACAACAGAAAGGGACTAAGAGGGACCCAAAGGTCTGACTTACCTTTCCATAAGATCCTTGTCCTAAAACTTTCAAGAGTTCAAACTGGGAAGGGTCAGCCTTTTCAAATCCTTCTTTGACATGATGACTGATGTCAATCTCCTTCACAATGCCTTCTTCCTACAAGAGAGGGGTGACACGATAAAACACACAAATCAACGGGCTCCTCTGTGCTTCTCACAATTCCAGCCTGCACGATAGTCAGAAGCTGAGCCTGTTACAGATTTTTAAGACTGGAGTGGGAAGCTGCGACGCCGCATAGCCTCACATAACTGTCTTACTTATCTGTGCCTGTTGCTCCATTTTTAGGGCATGGGAACCTCTGATCTTTTCCCCATGTTTTTTGTCATCTGGTCTTACCATTATCTCAAGGAACCGTGGAGGGACTCTTGACAAAACCCATTCTTTTCCTAACAGTTTGGGCAGAAGTTTGGATAGGGATGAACACAGCAGCTGGGGAACAAAATGATCCTCTGAGGACTTGTTTCGACCTCCACTGCTGTGCTCACAGGGGTCACCGATACGTTCCATCTGTGGAAGTAGTCTGTGAAACGCACATTTTTTATCCTTCTTATTCATACTATCCCTGACAATTATGCCACAGCTAATGCAAAGAACATTTCATTGTTATCTTAGAGATTCCATCTCAGACGCAGCAGTCAGATAAGATTTTCTGCCAGTCCAGAAAATGTATTTCCCAGTAAGAAAAAAAGTCCTTCTTGATCTTTAAAACACTGACAGAAATCACTACAAATTTTCATCAAAGAACTTTGTCTTTTCACAGATGCATCACATCACTTCACTTGCAGAGGGGCATGCTACCTGCCCAACATCAGGAGTTTGAAACGGAAAAACTGGGATGTAGGTGTTTTTCCCGGCAGCAGAGCCCAAATGCTCCCTGGTTCTGGGTCCTCAGCCTTTGCACCCGTTATTTCTTTTATTCCTGAAAAACTCCATGGTGATTTTATCCTGGCTCAGGTTACACAGCCAGGAGTTAGAATAGGGTTTCCAGTCAAGAACAACTTTAAAGTCACACACACTTCCTTCCTAGATTTTAGTCTAAGAGCAAGTATTTTCAAATGAAATCGTAACAGCAATAAATTACATTATAGTGGTCTCTCTTCAAAATGTATGAAAAAGTTCAGTTTCTCAAAAGTTACCAATTTCATGATCTCCATGGACCTCCAGGATTGGACACCTTTAAAAGTAAAGAAAGGTTGTCTGTGCTATAAAAACTCACACAGCAGCTCAGTGGCCTATGCTGTTACCTTTTGCTTTTTAAAATTCTTATAGTTAGGGAAAACACGTCAATGTCCTCACATCTGTAAGGATCATTTGCCATTTTTGTAAAACCAATGGTTTCTCTACTTGTGAAAACAATGAATAAAAGTCAAAAAATGTATTCTGGTAGGTTCATAAGGTTTCTATGAACTCAGAAGACAAGGAATCACAATATGGCTGCTTTGTAATAACTTCTTGAAAAAATAAGAATGCTGGGAGCACAGGCCAACCAATGGCTATTACATTTCGATGGCAGTTTAGGGTGGGGATCATGTTTACAGACATTCCAGCCTCACACCTCAGGCCTGGACTTGCAGGGCCTGCGCTATGGAGACTGTGCACACTTTGAGGGAAAATCCCTCCCTTTGTAATAGGGCCACTTAGAAAACAAGGCCACAAGCTGATATTCAAAGAAATTGTTCTCCAAGTCCCCAGAGAAACACAGGTGTTATCTTTTCCTGCCATTGACTTGTCAGCTGACTAAAGAAATAGAAGATTGTCACTAAAATGAGAAGAGAATACACATTTTCTATTAATAAAAAGCACCTCCCGGCAGTGGGTCCGTTACCACAGCCCGGCTCTTCCAGTCAGAATCCTGGCTTCCCTCCCAGGTAAGTCCAGCCACATAGCCGTGTCGATGCAACACCCACGTTATGACAAAGGTAACAATTCACACCTTTCTGTGACTTCATTTTGGTCACGTGAACACATTAACAGCCACACTGCTGAACAAGAAGCAAAATTCAATGGCGCCCAAAGGCACGGGGAGGCGGGAGAGAACAGGGCCCAGAAACAGGCGGCTGAGGCTGCAGACTCTTATCTGCTCTCTTCCGCCCCCCCACCCCCGCCCCCCGTGTGCGTTTCTTGAAGATTTCTAGATCATCCCTGTTCTTCAGCAGCTTTCTGGCAGGCCAGAGGCTCACAGCCGTGGTCGATGAGGTCACTCGCCCACAGTGACACCAGTGCACACCCCTCTGCCTTGCAAATGCATCCCTCAGGCAGGCGTGTCCCGAGCTGGCGGGCAGGTTCTAGCCTCGGGGCCCACAGCATCCACCTGGAATAAGCGCCCAAACAACTCTGACCATTCCAGAAAAATAGCCCCTGATGGTCACAGTTAATTGAGTTTATCTGAATATCATCTTCTCCAAGACCTAACTTTCACATACTGCTGACTTGACATCCTATTTTTTTCAAAATCAATATTTGGTTAAATGCTTGGTAAAGACCTCCATCAGAACAAGCTGTCGCTGTGAGGTCTCTGGCAGGGCAGAGCAGGGAATGCCGAGGGGCCTGGCTGGCGGTCAGGACGTCAAGCTGGTGGGACTTCACTCCCACAGGGTCGTCCTGTTTCCGGCCTACCCGTAATGCAGCGGGAAGCCTGCACCTGCCTGCCTGCACCTGCTTACTAGTCAACCAGAGACGCAGAGCCCCCTGGACTGACCGCTGAATGCTGGTTCTCACGATCGCAGACGGCTGGTGTCTTGTTGCTTCTCTGATCAGAGGGGACAAAAGCACATCCTCAGGTGTTATTGAGGAGGTTTCCCCAGTTTTTCTCACCAAGAGAGAATCTGAGGTTGGGCCCCAAGTTCTCCAGGACCATCAGTAAGAATTCCTTTACAGTAGAGGTCAGTGGTCACACATAGTAGGTTTGAATCTTCAAAAGGGCCAAGAATATTCTCCAAGGTAATGTAAAAATTCAGTCTTCATGGATTGCTTTTCTTGATACACTGGGAAGATCACCCCGTAAAGTTGTCTTTGGGACGCTTAAGTTAAAGGTCCAAACTGTTCAGTTTTCCAGCACTCAGTGGCTAAGTAGCCCTATGACCTGACTCCAAGGAGGACACTGACCCACTGGGGCAGAACTGTGGGCTGTGTGAGTGCAATCACTTGGACGTCCTGCAGCAGACGTGTGGCTCAGGAGCGACAAGCTGGGTGGTGAGTCCTCTGATGGCACAGCACGGACTGAGAGGGCACGGGGACACACTGTCGGAGCACCTCAGCAGCAGCAGCCAGGGCAGAGGAAGGCAATGGGGTTCTGCTTACATAGCAGATGTCTGTCAGTGTGTTTCAATGTGAACACATGGCAACAGTTATTAAACCTGATTGCCACGATTGCGGGAGTCTTTCCCCAGCATGCCCATCCTCATAGCCCTTCCTCAGACAGTGGGGTCTCAAAGCATCCCCCATGCCCCTCAGAGAAGAGCTGCCCCCCACTCACAGAGCTGGCATGTTTGTGAGTTGCAGGAGGCAGGCAGAGCAGAACCTGGAAGGATGGGTTATTCACACTGAGAACCTTTAGCAAGTGCAAATAATTTGCAGAAGGACAACAAGAGGCCACAGAGATGGGCAGTGATGACAGCACCAGTGACCATGGGGGCAAGTATATGGGATGAGGTTCTGTTCTAGAAAACTGCAACCTATAAAGAATTTATGGTATGACAGAGAGTAATCAGCCACAATGAGGCAGCTCTAAAGAGCCACTGGGCCTGTGTTTTGGAAAAAGAAACTCTAGTGTGAGCACCAGCCTTCCTGGGCAGATGGAGGCGGGCGGAGGGCAGGGAGAGCCGAGCACAGCGTGCTGCCAGTCCCACAAACCACACAGCCCACCAAGGGGCACGTGTGCTCACGCCTTCTGGCCCAGGAGTCCCACTTCTCAGAAGTTATAAAACAATTTGAATATTGAGTATTGATAGCTGTTAGCTATAGTGTTTTTTTTTTCAGGAGTGAAGAAATAAGAAACAATTTAAATGTCCAACAAATGCAAAAGAATTAAGTAAATGATGACATGTCCACCAAATGAAATTTTACACAGACATTACAAGTGACTGTGCCATCGCTACACAGGCAGACCACAGGATTGGCAGTATAGTGAGAACACAGTGACCCTATAGCATCTATCTATGTTGGTACTGACCTCACTGGAGGAGGTGAGGACTTGATACTGTGGGTGAATGGTGAACCACTGTGTTATGTATTTGAAACAATCATAAGATTGTGTATCAGTGCTATTTTAATTTAAAAAATCGATTGTGCCATTTATAATTGTTCCCAGAAAAATGAACTGCTCAGGTGGAACAAAACATAAAACATGTACAGTGTTATCTGTGTGATGAACATTACAGAATGTTACCAAAAAAAATCAAATAGGAACTAAGTAAAATGAAGAGTCATGCTATGTTTACAGACTGGAAGATTCAACAAATTTTTAATTCTCCAAAAATTGATCTGTAGGTATAATGCAATTCCTATCAAAATCTGAGCAGGGCTTCTTATAGACACAGACAAGCTTATTCTAAAATGTATGCGGAAATGTAAAAGGCCTAGAAAAGCTAACAACAATTGGGAGAATAACAAAGTGGGAGAAATCTCTCACTGGGTCACTATAGCTACAACAGCCAAGACAATGCGGCACTGGCGGAAGGACAGACACACAGACCAATGAACGGAACAGAGGACCCTAGAACAGACCCATTCTAATGCACCCAGGTGATTGCTGATAGGGGTAACAAAGTAATTCAGTGGAGGAAGGGCAGTCTTTCCAACAAATGGCGCTGGAGCACTGGACTCCCAAAAGCAGAAAAGAAAAAAAAAGACATTTGACCCAAAACCCAGGCTTTGTAGAACAATGGGCTGAAAATGGATCCCAGACCTCAATGCAAAACTATAAAAGTATTAGGAGGAAAGCTTCAGGACCTAGGGATAGGAGAAAAAAAATCTTAGATGTGGCACTAAAAACATGATTCATAGAAAACAAATTTTCATACATTGAACTTAATCAAAATTTAAAATATTTGCTCTACAAAGATGGCTAAGAAGATGAAAAGAGAAGCCCCAGACTG